CTTTTCTCTTTTTTTATTTTCTCCCAATCCTTTCCTTTCCTTTTCTTCATACTATTTCCATCTTTTAAAAAATGCTAAATGTTTTTTCTTTTTTCTTTTTTTTTTTTTTTTTCTTTATTTTGGCTCGTGTTTTATTGTTAGGCGACTGAGAGAGAGAGAGAGAGAGAGAATCGTTTGTATATCTTTACACACCAGGGCGCCCTGTCTCGTCCTCGACAAAGGACGACTAGCCCCATGTTCGAAGGCCAAATCGTCGAAGGTCGATCATCTTTTCGACGAAGCGGTCAGGAACGAGTCTACTCTTCTTCTTCTTCTTCTTCTTCTTCTTCTTCTTTTCTCTGACTCTTGTTCTTTCACTCTCGTCCAGAGATTGGACGATGGATTTGCTTGTCAGATGGGGGAAAGAAACGAGTGGGAAGAGGAGGAAATGAAACGATTACGCGTTTACGATTCGAGTCGTTCGCTACCTGCTACCTACGACATCGGACGTGAAACGCGCGGGTGAAGGATCGGGAAGTGTGTTTATTTGTGAACAGGGGTCGGGGAGGGAGAAAGGGTTCGAGCTGAAACAAAACGGGAACAAGATGGGAATTAATGCTGGTTGGATTTAATTCTTATCGAACTAAACATTCAATTCAAGATTTTTGGAACATTTAATTCATAATAATTGATTGTTGCAATGTTACGACGAACCTTAATTACAGTGGAACTCCGCTTGTGTAATTAACTTGTCGGTTGAACAAATAGTTTGCGTAATTAGAAGTTGTATAATAAGAGTCCGCTTTCTATTCTCTCTAGTGATTTATCGGTCATATAACAGGAGTTCAGGTTAAGATAATTGGTTTCCATCGGTAACAGTTCATTTAATCGTGTATTCATTAAAATATCTTAATAGATGCCTGCGTCTACTCTGGAATTAAAATGAAACATTCTAAGAATCTGCAGAAGACAGACTTGTCAAGAAAAAAAGTTATAATAAGTAACGACGAAGGATATAGATAAATGCAGAAGAAACACAGTTACAGTACACCTTCGTGCTGTAATTTATGTTTCTTTCAAGAGGATCGAAGGGCAGAGAAACGAGAACCCTTAGAAAAAAAAAAGGAGAGAGGGAAAGAAGAAGAAAAAGGGAGAAAAGAGAGTTCAAGGTCGAAAGGATGGAAGAAGCGCGTTTCACCCGTAGGAGTGATCGCGTGTGGGGTAAAACGCGTCGTAGCCCCGAGCTTATGTATACGCGAGAACGGTTTTGGAACGACCCGCGTAATCCGAATCCGTATTCGAAAACCAGTTTCTGCTCAACGTGGGTCAACCAAACTCGTCCTGTTGTTCAACATCGTCTCCCACCGTGTTCGACCCACGTTCGTTACTCCCCCAAATCGAGATTCCCTGTTTTCATCTCGGCCAATACACCACCATCCGAATGATCATGCTTCCTCTCCATTCGAATGTTTTTTTTTTTTTTTTTT